ATGTAAATTTATATGTATATATTTAATATACTTTATATATTTAAAATTTTGTATATTATATATAAAATACCCATTATTAATACACATAACAGTAGCTATAAGAGACATTTGTTAGTTACAGGGACCTTTTCCCACATCCATCAAGCCAAAAAAGCTAAATTTTGCAGTCTTGCATAAAACAAAGAAATCTCCTCTGTTCTAGTTCAGAAGACTCCTCCTGAAAGAACAGCTCTGGACTTGAAGCATAAATATTCTACTTTGACATTCTTCCTGTTCCAAATGCCTTAATTTCCATTGTTCAAAGTTTAAAAAAAAAAAAAGTAAATGGAGAGAAAATGTATTTCAGAAGCTTTCTCCTCTCTTTAAAAGTAATTTAGAATCTTAGTGTTGTTAATACTTTAAGGGGAGATCTGATTTAACTGGCAAAAGTAATGGGTTTTAGGTCTAGTGTGCAGGAATGATAGGCTCAGCTACTTCTGCTGCCTTGCTCCCTTAGCTAAGGGTTGTGGTATGTGCAGGTGGGTTCACAAGCTTGCAGAAAAGTTCTCTATTAGAAACAAGGCTGTAAACTGAAAATGGCATCATTAGCCATAAAAATGCCTTTTAATTTTTTTTCAAAGGGTCATACTCATCACTACCATCACGCTGCTGTAGCCTCATCAACTAGACAAGATTTACTGTGCAGACAAAGCTGGCTTATAGTTAGGGGGACTGCACGAAAAATAACCAGTGTGTGTGAGAACTGAGAGTGCTTTGCTAATTGGCTGTTAGATGAATGCTGTCAGTCTGTCAGTAATACTCCGATTACTTGGTTCAGAACTGCGTGTGTTAGATAACTCACAAACATGAAAGCTGTAAACTAAATCCTCTAGTTATTCTGGTACATTTGCTTCTTTCTGTTGCCTTAAAAATGCTATTCTTGCTCAGCAAACCTGGGAAAGTGTGATCTCATTTGATTTTTTTCATTGCTGTTGACACTGACCTTGTGAGCCTTTTGGGGCAAGACTAGCCTTTTTATTTGTGCATACAGTACGAAGCATGAATCTGAGAATACTCTTGTTTCAGGGCTGACGGCTGATGCCAGAATAGTTATAAATAGAGCTCGTGTGGAGTGTCAAAGCCACAGGCTTACAGTGGAGGATCCCGTCACCGTGGAGTACATCACACGTTACATTGCTAGCCTGAAGCAGGTATGTTGGACCGCACAGAGATGCTTAAAAGTATGTCCTGACAAACAGTGCTTCAGACTAAGTACGTAAAGTGTCTGTCCTGGCCTTGTTCTGCTCAGCTGATAAAAATCAGTGTAACAAAACACACTGCAGCTGTTTATTAGAAGTAGGGATGTAGTAATAGAAAAGGAGGATTGATTACTGTTTGGGTTTTTTTTCCCCAAGATGAAGAAATTAATTAGTACTTGTAAGGACTGCGTAACTACATTTGTGGTATCATCAGGAATGCTCTGCTAATCTACAGCTCTAATTCACTCCCCTAACAATGGTGCTGTGTTATTGTCAAAGCGTCTTCATGGCTCCTGTTCATTTTTCCTCCTCCTAAGCCATTGCAGGGAGGGGTAAGAAGGGAGCAAATCAGTGCAGTACTTAATATGTTTTACATTTGATACTCATGAATTTAAAATGAATTACAGTGCCAAAATATGCCCAACTGCATTCTGTGATAAAATTATTCATTTGCCAGTGTATTAAACTGATTTTCAGCAACTAGTGGGGATTAGAAGAAGTCTAATTTACTTACGCACAGGTATAGGGATGATGATAATAGTGTAGTTCTTGCAATAATCACTAGCCTGCCAGAGCAGAATACCACTTTGCAAAGTTCTGCTTTGTTCCTTTACAGTAACCTCACATTTGTGTCTTTCATTTTGGCACATTCACAAGTTCTCTAAAACTGTTACAAACCATAAATCTTGCACAGTATTCCTGTTGTGATGCTGCTGCTGGTGTCAGGCCGCTTTGTTGGTGGGTGCTTCTGGTGTGTGCTGTGGCAACAGCTTTGCTAATGCAGTGTCAGCAGGAGGAGGGCTGTAGCGGTGGCCTGCGTATCCCCACAGAGGGTGCCGTGCTGTCTGATGGAATCATTGCACATCATTGGTGAAAACTGACTTTGAGCTGTCATCACCCTCTTTTTTAAGCTTGCTTGTCAAAGCAGAGCATTACACCTGGGCTTGCAGACTTAGCCCTCTCTGCCTCTGGGCACCACCCAGCAGCTGAGGGAGATTTTTCCTGGTAGCTGTGATCATGCAGCAAACATCAAATGGGTGTTAGGAACAGGAACTGGACAGTAACCACCTCTTATGTGCCTTGCTTATGGTCCTCTGTAAGACATGGGATCCTAACTTTAACAGGTAGATTGGTAAGGGAGCCCACTGGAGATATCTCTGGTGCCTCTTCTGGTTGTAACTTCTACAGTCTGCTCACCACTCTAAAAATGTTTTTAGAACCACAGAACCATTTCTGAAGTAAGTGTCCCTTCTTTCTGAGCAGAGATACACACAAAGCAACGGTCGCAGACCTTTTGGTATCTCTGCTCTAATCGTGGGATTTGACTTTGATGGAACCCCCCGGCTGTACCAGACCGATCCCTCTGGTACATACCATGCCTGGAAGGTGAGTTGATTCTGTCTCTTGTGGAGAAGTAATGAAATATTTGTGAGTTAATATCCCTTTTAAAGAGGGTCTGGTATAGAAAGGAGATCTCACTGGCCAGATGGTGCTGGCTTACAGCTGCAAAAATCCTTACATGATCAAATTTACTGAGAATGGCGGCCTGCAGTTCAGCATCACTTGGGAAATCTTGTCCTGTTTTCCAAAAAACCACCTGTGCCTGACGACTGTCTTTTTGTGTGACATTTGGGCAGTAACATGTTTGGTCTCCTGAAAAATACATGGTGATCACAAAATAGTTTCAGATTATATAATTGCACAATGCATATTTCTTGCTTGTTCTGTAAATCAGGTCGTCTTCTAAACTTCCATTCATTATCTTTTTCCCTTCGATGTTTCCAGGCTAATGCCATTGGCAGAGGAGCCAAATCTGTGCGTGAATTTCTGGAGAAAAACTATACTGATGAAGCCATTGAAACAGATGATCTAACTATTAAGCTTGTCATCAAGGCTCTCCTTGAGGTGAGTCTGTTTTGGGTCCCTTGTGTGACTTTTCACTGTGTGTCTGATTAACTTCTTAAATGTGAGTATGTGCACTTTCCTGTGACATGCACGAGGATTTTTTGCTAATGGATCTGTGAAGACTGTTTGTTGTAGGCCGTATGTGTGGGATTAAACTCAAGGTTCAGAATGTTTCAGGTAACAGTTTCTGTAGTTTACACAGAAGAACTTAATAGCAGTTCCCTGGTGAGGAAAAGAGACTTCAGTTCTGGGCGTGAAAAAAATGCACCAAAGATGTGTCGAACCATATGCAGAATATTTTTACTGAAGTTTAAGATACAGAAAGTATCAGAAGTCAGATGGTGGAAATGTGGTGGTGTTCACCAGCCCCCAAGGGCATTGATGCCAGAATGAAGACCCTTATTTTTTTGAGAGTCACACTGCTACTGGAGTTGAGTGCTTAGAGCTAACAAGCAAAATACTCCCCATCCATATCTCTTCTTCTAAGAAGGCCCGAAAGGAGTTTGTTAGAACTGGTTAATGGATGCATTCCTAATGCTCATATCTAACTCTTGTTAAGGTTGTGCAGTCTGGTGGGAAGAACATTGAGCTGGCGGTTATGAGGCGAGAACAGCCGCTGAAGGTAAGGTCTTTGTTTTGCTTCTCTCCCTCTGTAGCGGTTTCTCTGATACTGTTGTTGATCTGCATGAACTTCCAGCCCTTAATCTCACATTCTGCACTGGCAAATACTTCTTCTGTTTATTACTAGTGGCCAAGGAATGTTGTTGTGTCTGCACAAGGTACCTGTGTCTGGATAAATACCAGCTAACTTTCTTTCCATGCCAGAACTAGAATTGCTGAAATAAAAGCTTCTAAGTTGTATTAGTATCTTGAGGGTCACTTGCGTTTCTGTTTTAGATCCTAAACCCTGAAGAAATTGAGAAGTATGTTGCTGAAATTGAAAAAGAAAAGGAAGAAAATGAAAAGAAAAAGCAGAAGAAAACATCATGATGAATGAAATTCAGCTGCTTAGCTGCTTCTTTTTAATTCAAGTGATGGGCTATTCTGTATAGACAACATGTAGGCATTCCACTTATTCATACTGTGCCCCTCTTGAGACCTACAATAAACCTACTGATTTTTTTTTAAAGCTGTTATTTTAAAAAAAAAAAAAGCTGTCTGTTCCTTGGATTTTAATTAGCTAGGATTATTTGGTTGGATACAAAACAGCAGTAGTGACCCATTAAAGGACAACCACTTTGTTTGCATTTTTGTCCTCGGACACTTCACTTTGATGATTCTTTTCCATGCTGTCCCAGTTGTTAGCTTCTCCCCTTTTTTCTTTAAAGTAGCTGTCTCAAGTGTTGTTGTATGGGCCTCAACAGCATGTAACTAATATGGTATTATGCTGCTTCTTCCCTGACTAGCATCCTCAAGTCTAAACGGTGGGGGACTTGTGATGGCAGGTGTGAGGTTACCTCTGGAGGCCAGTCCAGGGTCGGAGGGGTGGCGGTTTGGGAGGTCAGCAGAGGGATGGATGGCTGCAGGCACGTCATCATGGCGGAGGTGCATGGCTTGGTACTGCTGTAGACTTTGCATGGTTAATCTCGGCCAGAATAAAGCGTTGCTGTTGTGATTGCCCACCAGGGGATTTATAGACCATACAGACTGTTACATACAATGTGGTTAAACTAAAGCTCTACTCCAGCTTCTCCTTTTGTATTTACTCTCACCCTGCTTCCTCTCCCTCTCACCCACAGGAGTTGGGTATAGCTCTGTTTCTGGTCGAGCCTGGTTACTGTTCCCAGTCCTGGTGTCAGCCACTCCTCCCTGCAGCAGCCCTATGGGAGGCAGATTCCTGCCTCTGTGCACTGAGGCCACAGTGCTTGAGAGGCAGGATTATGCTCTGTGCCATCCCCTGGCTGCAGCCATTGCCATGTACCATCTAATAAACTTAGAAATAGAGAAATGTGAAGGTGCCAGGTGAAAACCATTTACTCAAATGCTTTGAAACCAGCCAAAAGCAGCTGTGGCTGGGAATAGGGAACAGCTGGCCCAGAGTCAGCCATGGGCCCATGCTGCCCTGAAGCAAGGTAGGTTGCCCTTCTGTAGAACCCTCAGGCACAATAACTGGCTTTGCCCAGCCCACTGCTACTCCTGAGGGCACCTGTACTTCCAGCTTTCAGGGAAGGGGAAAGGGGAAGGGGAAAGTTGGTCACTTCATGGCTTGTGCTGGAGGGCTTTGGGGTGTCTGTCCCTCAGGCCTCTCCTGAGCTGTTGTCCACCAGCCTCAGCACCTGTGTGCAAGAGTAATAGGTGCCCTTTTATAAAAGTTTCCCATTTATATCCACCAAGGGGGTAGAACTGGAACAGCCCCTGAAAGCAGCTCTTTAGTTACTGGCAGCAGGCACAGCCAGGACAGACAGTGAGAGGGAGCTCAGCTGCACACACCCAGGACCTCTCAGCCCCAGGACAGCTGCTCAGTCCCGGCCAGACTGCTGCAGGCAGCAGTAACAAGCCTGCTGTGACTCTCACCTGCTCCCCAGTCTCTCACACCACAGCCAGGCTGTTCACAGCTAAATGCTGCAGAGCATCACCCAGGAATCAAGGAGAAGAAAAGAGCCATACTTCCTTCTCCTGCTCAGGAAAGCATTAGACTACAACAGCTGAAGAAAATGAGGTTCAGGAATACTGTGTTGTGTCATTTACCAGTCCTGGAGCTGGAATGTTGAAGACTGACATTACAAAAGCCATGTTTGGTTCCCTGCACAAGTCACCTTGTGCTGGGAAGCGTTGTGCCTGGAAGTCAAGAGGGCTGACAGCTCAGTCCCAGGGCTGAGCCACAGCCCTTAAGCCACCTCACACCCCTCCCACACAGCAGGACAAGCCAGGCACAGCACTGGGTGAGACTGGGACTCATCCATAGTACAGTAACTTCAGCAGCATGCGTAACTATGATTGCATCTTGGGTATTAGATCTGAGGCTTTACTGTACAAACAAGGGGAATTACTGCCTTAAAAATAAGTGAGAGGCATTATTGCACAGAAGTTAACAATGATTTCTTTTTGCCACTGCCACCTGGGATAAGCCAGCTGACTCTGGCAGTGCAATTCCATCTTCACACTTAATGTCACACAGGCTGTTTTGCCAGCAGAGAAATTAGAGGCTTGCAGCAGCTTCCAAGGAAGCTGTTCCAGCACACACCCTGTTTTGCTGGTGTAGAGGCCAGATACCGAAGGCAGTTGTGGCTACTGAACCAGCAGCACTGCTGCCCAAAAAGAGGTCCAGTTAAGCCCCCGCACCCAGGGACTGGGACTCCCTGGGACAGCCACAGGCTCAGGGTGGTTTGGGCAACAGTAACCCTCATTAGGCCATTCCTCACCAAAGGAGCTAGAGCTCACAGGGAACGGGAACAAGGCAGGTCAGTGCCTGGATTAGGGGTTTTAAGCCCTTCTCAAATGCTCTGTAATACCCTCCAAGCCTGCTGGAACTCTGCAGCCCGGTTTTCTCCTTTGAGCCCTGCTAGGACAGGCACCTGACAAGTTGTACAGACAGGTGTTACTGAGCTACATACACCACAAAGTAGGAGGGAGACATTAAACATTTACATGTTTATTATAATTACAATTTACATTACTCCAAAGAGCAGCCCCACTGCTATGTTCTAATTCTTAGCAATAAAGTCCTACAAAAATAAATCCAAGCTTTTACAGTAACCTAGGTCAATGCATAACTAAAAAATTCTAGCTATGTAAGGGGTTCAGTCATCAAGGTGCTTTTTCAACAAAATTCCCTACCAACCAAAAAAAAGGGACACATGCCTATAGCAATTTAACCCACTTATTCATGCAAACAAATGTAACCCCTCCCTCCCAGCCCCTCTCCCCACATACAGATTTTTAAAAACAAAAGAAAAACAACTAAACTATTTACAGTATGGGGGTATAGAGGAAACAAATTAAACATGCCCATCTGTTAAGCTTCATCATATGGACTCCCATCCCCAGTTTAATGAAAACATTCTATAGTGTTCCACCACAGTCTACTAGTGTACAGAGAACTGTCTGTGTTTGGTACTACCTATGAGCGAGGTACAAATCGAGGCAAGAAGTCAGAGCTTCAGCTCTCCTTCCCAGACAGTCAACTACTGCCAAAAACTCTTTATACTGAGCACACGAGCGGAAACATTTCCCCCTCCCGTCCCGCCGAGGGCGCAGCACACCGCTGCCCCACATTGCCCTGACCCAGTAAGGAGCTCCACGCCTCTGAGGAGCACCCAGCACCCTTCAGCCCCAGGGCAGTCACGGTTCTGCGTGAACCTGCAGTACCTCCACAGCAGTACCAGCCAACAGACAGTTGTACAGTCATTTACACTACTACATGATCAACAATCCAGTACTCCCAAGTGACAATATACATAACTCCTCAGCACCAGGAATCCATTCTTCCAGATACCAAGTGCTACTTCACACCTGCTGCCGAGAACAGTGAGACCAGCAGCACCAAAGAATCCATTTGGTTCCTCAGAAAAAAGAAATGATAGCTGGTTTATTTCAAGTGAGCTTTGGTTCCATGTTAAAATAGCATGATTTATCTTCTTCAGGGTTCAGAAAAGGAGTCTTACTTGAACCTTAGACTATAGCAGCCTTTGAGAGACCCAGAAAGAAGAATCATGTAAGTTAGTCTGCACTTAAAAAAAACAACACACAAACAAAAAAGACACCCTGAAGAAGGTACCCCTGAACACATTCCCTCTCCAAAGAACATTCCAGCTGACAGTCGCTGGTCCAAAATAAGTCCAGAATATAAGCAGTAGTACATGAAGTTCTGTCACTTGAGCTGAGACAGTAAACAATATGAACCATTTTCCCACATTAGTGCAGCAGTTGGTTGTTTTCTTTCTATATACAGTTTCGTCTTCTCAGGAGAGATGTTAGAACCTATTCAGAAAAAAAAAGGGCAGAATTGGATTTGGTATCAGGGGGATCTTCCCCCAAGAAAAAGAAAAGCAAAGTTCACACCCATGCATCAACTGAAGTGCTTAGCTAGAAAGCCTCAGCTCCAGCAAGCAGCTCTTGCTTTCGCAGACAGTAGGCTAGCCCAAGAAATCAGCAGAACAATCCTCATATTAAAGAGCATATCAAAACCACTCGTAGTTCCTTCTACCACTTCGAAGCACAGATCAGAAACAGTAAGGAAAAATTCTTGATATATCCATGAGACTGGAGAGCAAGAGGCTGCACAGACAGTTTAGGCAAGAAGTAAGGAGACAAACCTGGCTCAAAGACAGTATTTATTCTTTCTAAAAAACTTGCCTCTGAAGTTACACTCGGCCAGTACCAGCTCTGTGAGTGGTTTGGTTTCGCCTTGCTGCTCCGCTACCCCTTCCTCCTCGAAATCCACCACGAAAGCTGCGGCCACGAAGGAACCGTCCAGACACTCCAAATGTCTCTGTATTGAGCTTCCTTTCTTCAGCCCATGTGGTACGCCTAGAACTGAACAAGACCGCATTCAGATTTAACACTAAATAACCACCAACTCATTTAGCTAGGAAGCTTCAAGCACCCTACTTTGTTGAACTAAACTGCAACAAGAACAAGCTGCAGCATACACACGCTCACTAACTCAATTCCTCTGCTAAGCATGGATATGAAAGTGACAGCTGTTGGCTTTTGTAAGCTACTTTCATACTGGAAAATTAAAGATGGGCCTAGAAAAGGGTTGAAGTTGAACATAGTCTCACCAGCGTTTCAAACCCTGTCTGTTTTTTTAGAAAAAATACAAATTCTTGACACCATCAAAGCCTCTCCAGAAGCCTGGGAAGCCCCATCACAACTGAGGTTCGGCAGAGTGCCACCGAGGTAGCTCCACAGCACCAGTGCGTTCCTTCCTTCGCAGAGCCTGCCTAGCCTCGAGCACCATACAGCAAGCTCTGGGAAGAAAGCTTTGCTAAAGGGAAGCAGAAACATTACCAACGGTATTTCACATACTGAGACTTAAGGGACATCTGACTTCACCAAGCAGTTGATAACATCAGCAGCAAAAGACGAACCTTTCTTTTAATAGTCCCAACATTTAATTTAATGCATTTCCACAGACAGACCTGACCTCCTCCCTGCCCAAACTCCAGGCTTAGCTTGTTCCTGTCTGCAAGTTGCACCATCTTCAACACAGCA